TATATATATATATATGAGACGTTAAGAATGGTTTTCATTACCTTCTAATTTTTGAAATAACGGGTTGCATCATTTGCTTAAATCATCTTATCGATATAAACACTGAAAACGTAATATAAGGTGGATCTCTGCGCTTGAATTTGTCACGCTGCACTGTTAAATAGCTAAGAAGCAATGATAATTCAATTCCGTAAATTAAATATTTTGTTACTTTTTATTTTATGTGGCTAAAATGTAAATCTATCCATTTTTATGATTACACGAAAAGCTTGATTTTATATTAAATATTATATCAAAATATTAAAAAATTTAGCTCGATGCAGATTTGAAAATAATTAATTCCGAAAATGTGGAACACTCAAACTGATTATTAGATTAAAATTTTTTGCATCATTGCTCATCATGCTTCAGATTCTTGTTTATTATTTTGATTACGTCCAATAAAATTATTTTTAGATCCGTATTTAATTAAATTTTTAAATACTTTGTCAAAATTGGTTTTTCAAAATAAATATGTAATTTGAAAAAAAATTGTCTAAAATTTTTAGAGTGAATTTATGATGTTAAGCAATTAGACTAAAGAGAGAAACATTATCTTCGCACGTTGGATTCTTCTTCGACCGATTGTCCCCATTAGGCATGTTTTTATCTTGGAAATCAGTAATCCTTGCTTTTTGTTCAAATTAATGTTCTTGCAGAATTATACATAATTGATTGACAACGGTAAACTGAATATACTGACCATGATGTAAAAATATAAGATGTTTCATTGATTTATAAGATATTGCGCTTGATAGTGATGGGGTTGAATTCGGAGCAGCCAATCAAAATTTAGCCCCAAATAACAACATACAAAAGACCATCACACAAAAAAATTTTAATCGCAAAGTTTTAATCAAATCGATCAATTATAGTTAAGAGTGCGATCTTACGTTATAGAAACTGTACGCTCAACTATAATTAATCGATATCCTTACGATCTGATGATTACAATTAAAACTTTTTTACATGCGATAGTCTTAATTTAATCTGTCGCAGATCATAGGAGCCACATCGCTTTTTACATTTGCAGTTCTCTGATTGATCAACACTGTGCATCTCGGGAGCAAAACATCTTACATTATGATATTGACGATCCATAAAGAAAATTGCGTGCCTTTATATGTTAAATATTATAAATATTTCGTACGAAAGTAATTCGATCTGTTCAATGAAATATAAATTTAGCATAAAAAAATAAGATAAATCGATTAAATTGACAGTGCGAACTGACAGTTCCTGATGATATAAACATTTTAGTAATAAATAATGAAAGAAAGTTGTCATGAAAGTTTAGTATCAATGTTGAAACGTATAATGATAAAGAACTGTTTATGGTATAGTATAGACGGTTTTTTTATTCAGTGTTTCATCTAACGGTCCTTGACATGACACGGTTGTGTTGTCATATATCTCAACTGCAGGATTCGTTCATCCGCAATGCGTCAGAACATCCCGTTTCATCTCTTTCTCTCACAAATACTTGAAACTATGTACATTTTTTTATACACATACATTCTATCAGTAATATACACTGTGTATTGTTTTATCTCGTACAGTATTCAAATAGTCGATAAAATCCACTATAAAATATCGTTGGTAGAGAATTAACATTATGCACGTGCTAAACCGACCATTTTTAATTGTCCTGGCAAGTCACACCAGTAACCCACACAGAATTCTATAATAAATTTATCAATCGCCCGGAGGTAACTGTAAATTATATCTCATTTTCCATACAAGTTTAACGAGTTGATGCCATTTATGGTTGATGTTAAACGCTGTAGTCTTGATATTACGTTCATTTATCCGTAACCAACACTTTACAAGAGACTTCAATGAGATATCAAACATAAGCTATGTGCGAAACATAATTTATTGTGCCGAGATGAAACGGCAAATGTTTATAATTGCGAGAGATTTGCTGTCATTAATCTCCGAGTACTTTCTGTTAGTATTATAGACACTTTATAAACGCTTTATTTAGAAATATCTCTGTTGGATAAAATTGTTATTTTTAAATGACAAATGCAAGATATCTCGATTTGCAAACGATTCGTCGTCATCCATGCCAATTTGATGTTTCAAACAACACGTTTCACAATCACAGTGAAGAAATAATTTTGTTCAAATGTATTTGTGCTAAAGCTAAATTCGAAATATCGGACGCTGTGATGATAAGTTTATAACAATCCAACTGGTTGAACTAGTCGATTTAATTATGTCTATTTCTGTTAATATAATTTATTTGAATCTCGGTTTAATTTATTCATCTTTTTCTGATTCTTGAACTAGAAAAAAAAGTGCGTTAAGTAGAGATCAAAATTAATCTACATTGGTAGAAATGGACTTTTTAATATTCGTGTAACATTCTAAGGATATTGTGTTTTATAGGGTTAGTCAATCAATTTGATCTGTTATAACGAATTGTGTGAAATAAAAAATTTCGTCGAGATTGAGAAGGTCGATGATCTCGAACGTCTTAAAATTATTTCACTATCGATGAACCGTGTTACCTGTTGCGTAATCCAATAATTGCTCTCCTGAATGAGCAATCAAAATTTGTTAGTGATGACGGAAGGAATCGAAGATTTATGCGCCGAATTTTCCTCTCAGCGTGAAAATGAAAAATAACGACTGTTCTCACAATGGAAACGTAAGATATTGCGATGTCTGTTCAGACATGTCTACATATTATATATAGAAAATACGGTTTTGTTGAAGTATTTAAAAAATGTAATTAGATGCTGCAGAAAGTTTTGAGACTGGAAAAAAGTTACTAAATCTTGCTACATATTTCTTTGAATAGTACTAAGTAAACATTTACTTACAAAAATAAATATACTTACTCAAATATATTTACTAAATATATTTACTCAATAAAAAATTATACTTAAATAAAATTAATGATTTTTGCAAAATACATGTTTATGTTTAGTATTAAATGTATATTTATTATTAGAACTATTCAAAAATATTTATTAAAATTTAATATTTTTTTCAGTGTCTTTTAGTAATCAATATAAGCGCTCTGCATAATTATTTTAATAGTATTATTTTAATAATACTATTAAAATTATTTTAATGATTATTTCTCTCTCAGTGGTAAAGTTTAATAAAAAATTATTTTGAGATCTGTAGTTAATTAAATTTTTATATATAGTGAGAGCAAAAAGTATTCGTACAAGGAAATTTTTTATAAAATAGTCTTATTTGTAAAAAATAAACATTAATTAGCAATTTTATACAATGAATACATTCTGTTCTAACACAAACAAACGAGCTTCCTGACTTTAGAAGCCAAATTTCTCAACTGTATGAATACTTTTTGAGCATACAATTTTTAATTTTCGCTAATTTTTCAAATGATACATTTTCTATGATTAATACACATCTTTTGTATATATAATTTTAAGAAACATATAGTTTATTTTATTATTTATGAATAAATTATTAATCATCCAATAAGAAATGATCGAATCGATATCAAATTGATGTTGAAATCATCGTATTGATATCGATTCGACATCAATTTGATGACTCATTTTTTGCTGGATAATATTTACTTTTTAAAAATAAAGTTTTTTTTTCTCTGTATGAATATTTTTTTGCACTCACTGTAAGCAAGATCGTTTTTTTCTGTGTACGGAATTAATCAATAATAATTGGAAATTGATTGACAAGAAATCATCCACAATCGAGAAGAATAATACGTTCGACGGAAGATATCTCAGGATCTTCGTGTATCGCGAATCTGTCAAAATCGATGAAATCTCGATTTAGCGAAGTAAGCACGTGCGGATCATACTTC